TTAGAAGAGCACCTCAAGAATAGCTCGTCCAGAGAAACCAAGCAGGCTGCGCTGTACTGCCCTTGGTCACAGTACCTTTCCCTTAAAGAAGTATGTGAAGACAACGCAACAGCACGCAGACAAACACAACTCAAGGGTATCACGAGTCTTCATTTAAAGAAACTCTGAGAGCCCACTGGAAATGAAACACACTACATAAGGATTTATTCCCACTGCAGAGGTGCCAGTGCAGGAAGTGGTCCGGGCACCCAAGGTAGCTCTCCAGAAGTCAGATCCTTCAGGTTTCTCTGAGACTCAGTTTTGAGAAAGATTTTCCTGAGGGTGCAGGGACTGGACCCTCCTTTCATACACTTTCATACACTGTCCTACAAGGACAGCCCGTGGCTTACCTCTCTGCAATGCAGGGTCTCAGCAGCTATATTTCCAGGACAGAAGGCAGCTACAGTTGGCAGCAAGGAAGAAAGAAAGGATTCCTAGGGGTCACAAACACACTTGGTATTATCAGTCCATGGCACATCCAAAGCCCACAGGAATGGAGAAATGGAAGAAACATGTAACTGCCCATGTGTGAGCTCACATACAAGACAGGACTTTTAAGTACCATTAAAACCAGATGAATTCTCAGGAAGGACTGATGCTAACAACTGCAACTTCATTACAAAATCCCTATGAAATCCATTCCAGCCTAGTAATGAAGAAACACTAAATGCATAGTGGTCAAACTTTTTTTTTTCCTTTTTTATTTAAAATATCATTATAACCAATTGACATACTAGATAACAATGTATACATTCCAGTGGTGCACATGTAATGACCTATGGCATGAATGAGTAAAAATCCCCACAATGTTCTCAGTAATGCCCCACCAACAGCTTATTTGGAGGGAATAAAGGAAAAGAGGGAAAAAGGTATCAAATGTGGGGAAGAAAAAAATTACAGTTTTCCCCAGTATTTTTAATGGTGTATCTTCCCCTTCATCTTTCTTGGGACAAAATAAAATTATTAATATATCGCAAAAGGGGCAGAAGGAATGATCACAGTAATAAGGGATTTTTTCTCAACTTTAGTAATAAAAGTTAAAGAACTCTCAAAAATAGACTAGATATTGGGCCTACAAAAGTAATTCATCTGTATGCAAATCTTACCAAGAATTATTCCTTTTGTAAAATGTAAGGGATGAACGGACATTACTAGTAAGCTATTTTTACCTCCAAAACCAGACTACAATAATAAAATCACCAATTTACAGCTAACACAATATTCTAGATGTACATTATTGTACACGAGCTCTATATTACACATGAATATCTTATGTGAAATATATAAGAAACATACTTACTGATATTGTCTCAACATTGGCCAAAAGGTTTATTTTTCTAAAGGAAGTGTATTTTTCTACTCACATTCAGTGTAGTTCCAATAGCAAGGGTTAGTTTTGCTTACTTAGGAAATGTAGAAAGTTTGTGTGAGGTAGTTCAAGAAAACCTAGCTTAAATTTTTAACTGCAGAAGTAGAAACACAATGTGATCTGATTCATAACACATTTCTGTAATGCAGAGATATCTAAAGGGAGAAGGGAGTGAAAGAGATCACTTCAAATACCAGTCTTATCCAGTGCCCTTAACTAAGAATAAATTAAATTAATTGATAATTTGGGTAGGCAGCAGAGTCTTATCCCATTTCTCCATTAAACCCCTCTTTCTAATCTTACTGAAAAATGCAGACAGCTCTCCAACTCCAGTCCTCAAACTAAATATGTAAGAACCAAAACATTGATAGGAAATAAAATGTAACAGCATGGACAAGCTGCTGTCATCAGCAAATACAAGCATATCTAGGAACAGTAATTCAATTCCTTTAGCAACTCAAAACAATAAGAGCAAGTGTAACATGACTCATCTTCTCCCCTTTCCTCCATAATCTTAATTGAGAAACAATGTCATATGCTTTGGATTATTGGCTGGGTATGACCTATCCTCCTCTACTAGATTTTTGATCATTTTTTTTACGCAACATTGAGATGAATGCCACATACATTAATGCAGGAGCACTATATTCATGCAAACGCCTGTCAAGGTGCTTAATTTTTGCTCTCTAATGACACAGCCTGTGTTCAGAGAAGCAATTTTGCATAAAAACCCCCAGATCAGTAGCACACTCTTTACTTGGACATTCAGTCAGCAGAGGGTGCTATTGCCACAACCACCTCAAATACAGCTCACCACGTAGTCCCCTAAATTCACAATTCAAATTACCAAACAATTTATGCTGATATTATCTTTGTGTGTAGCTGGAATTCCTATCCAGAAACATACTATTGCATATGGTGTAGTGAGGTTCTTCTAAACTAAAAACCTAAGCTGCACAGCGCCTACACCTCTGTTCAGCTGAGAAGAATGAATGCACGAGAGGTGACTGGGTCAGTCAGGCTGGTCTAAGGTTGTTCAACTGATGGGTATTGCTCTGGCAGTCCAGCTTCTCACACACACTAACAAACAAAAACCTCAATTCTGACCCTTTTGCCTTGCATTAACAAAGACTTCACAGAGTAGAGGTGCAGCACACAGTGACAGTAGTAATTTCCCCCTCACTTCTATTTCAAAACCTTGAAGAACCTACTTCTACAAAAGGAGAGGAGCTCTAACCAGAGAAGGAGGAAATTAATCTTGTTATTATTCCCCAGCTTTAACCTCACGTGATCTAAGAAATCAGACAGCTCACTGCAATTCAGTCCCTACCAATTCCCAATGGATCGGAACGTCTCTAGAAGAGGAAAGTTGTGTACACTTCGGTGAAGCCTGTTGTCATGAGAAGATTTTGAAATCATAGACTAAAATAAAGCTTAATAATACTTTAAGAATAAAATTGTACAGTGTATTAGATGGTATATTATCTAACAACATAACAATAGACAAAGACAGCTGAACTCTAGCTACCCATTTGTTTGCTACCTATAGTAGTGTACAACTATCTATGAAATAATTTTATATTTCAACAAATAAAAAGGGAATTTAAGGCTAGCATGTTGTTGCAATAATTTGGTTACTGAATCTGATTTTTTTGCCTTTGACATTTGCCATCACTTTAATTTGCCCAAAATGCAAGCAACCGCAAGGAAAAAGAAAAAAAAAAAAAAAAAAGAAAGAGGCTACACTGCTATGAGGATGGTGCCAAAAGCAAACTCTACGTTCCCACAGGCAAAAGCTCTGATGTTACAGGAGTAATCCCTTTAAACACAGCTCATTCACACTGCACTGGGTTGCAGTGGACAGTTTCGCCCATTCACCAATCCTACCTTAGAAGATGAAAAACTCAATTCTCCTTAGAGCTTATGAACTCAACGAAGTTACTATTGATAGTGTACTGTGGTAAAAGCCTAGTAACTGTTTCGCTCAATATTAATTTTAAAAGCAATTTTTCTTTAGGACACTGGAAAGTGATACCAAAAATTATTTCAATGTTCCAAAATATTTCAGTCACCAGTGCAATCCAGAGGGGTCCAAAATAAATTTAAATAGGCATAATATTTACCAAATTATCTTCTTAACAGCATTTACAGGGATCCAAAGTTGATTTTGTCAGTCTTAACTTCATTACACTGGGCTGACCAGAATATCATTTGACCCTACATAACAATGGAGTACTGTTGTATGACCAAAAAATTTTGGCTTAATTCACAGCTTAAACTTTGATAAAAAACTACAAAATAGGCTGTTCTGTTGGTCTCTGTTCAACTTGAGCAGATTTTCTGTGTTCCAGTGCTAGACAAATCCAAACGCGTCCTGCCTATTCTGAGGTAATACACAATTTGGCAGGATCCTGTAAAAATAATTGCCTTAACAAATGTGGTTTAGAAAGGCAATATTGAAATACTAGATACAAGTGAGGAAAGCAAAATTACACGCACACAGCACTTACCAGCAGTCTAGCCAGGCCAGGAAAACAACTCTGCAGTTTATCAACTTAGTCATCTTTGAGACGTTACCATTCCATGTAACCCTGTATGTTTTTTAAAAAGACATGTTAGTTACTGAAAGCATTACTATCACTTCTATTTTTCTGAAACTTACTGCAAAGACAAATTTGCCTCTTTCAATCAGAACTTCAGAAAGATACCTATTTAACCCAACAAGCAGAAGGAACCACACTGAAGAGCGTCAGTCATTCCTCGATGACCTCTGTAGCCAGTTATATGATTTGCTTATGCTCTGTGCCTGGCAAGACTTCTGTATTTTTTATGCTCATTTCTGTGAGCACTACTAATTTAAATTCCTCTTCACATTCTAATTTCACTACACAAAATATGCACCTACACAAGGCAACCAATTACACAGCCTAGCTTCACTAAAAATCTGCATTTTCCAAAGGAATAAATTCTGAATGATTGTTTAACTCATACATAAACTTAAGTCAGTTATACATAAATCATTTTGTAAATATAAAATGTAAACAGTTAAAATACTTCTGTGAGGAGCAGCACCATTTTACATGACTATTTAGTAACTGTTCTAAATATTTCAATATATCTTTTCTTTAAAAAGTGTATTGAAACCTGGAGCTTCAGTGCTGAAAACTACTGAACATTTACGACTTAAAATGAACCATTATTAAGATTTCTGCTACACTGGTCTCATGGTGAAATGAAAGTGATAAATATTAATTTATGCAGCACTACTTCTCCCTCCTTTGGATGGCATATATTGCTCACTTAATGCATCAGCTGCAGAAATCCTGAGGTTCTCCTACCACTTAATAGTTTTTAGCAATCAGTTACTTTTGCTGGAGAAAGAATATTTGAAGTTTTGCCCCTTTGCATTCATGTCATTCCCTCTTCTACCCAAAAATACTTGTCTTAGTAGACAAAACTAGTAAGAAACAAAATGCTCAAGAATCACATAATACATGAAAGTAGAGCTACAGCATATTCGTTTTCCCTGTTAGCAGTCTACACATCCTGGATACACTTCTTCATTTTGTGTGTACAAAAACAGGCTACAGGCTAGAAGTAAACAGTTTATTTGCATTGCAATGTATTATTCATGAAGTATCCTCATGTTTTATGGTGATCACAAGATTTGGCATGCCACAACTCTGCAGAAAACGTCACATTACTTTGTTAGGCTAGATATTTCTGCAGCTTTGAAGATATACTGTGCTTTCTTAAGTTTGTAAAACCATTCAGATGAGGTTACTTTGCAAATGATTGTATAATGTTTCTCTAAAAAACTTCACTAATTGTTGCTTTTGCTTAAGTATTATAAGCAAGTGGCCAAAATAAAAGAAGATTTTGTTCCCTGCCAGCACAACAGTAGTATGCCCAAAACCGCAGCTGGCTGCACTGGCTTCTCTCCCCCCCTCCACCTGGACACGGACATATGACCAAGCATAAAACTTTGAAGGATATCATGAACAAAACATCTGGAATAAATTCTAATTAAAAAATTGAAAACCTATAAAATCTTAAATAATTAATTATATGGTAATGACCACAACATTAATATGTGCTTTGATAAAACAAATCTTACAAATTCAGTAAAAAAAGATCAGCAGCATAATAGTAAAGCAAATATGCAGATTTTAAAACCACAATAAAAATTATCAGGTTTAATATTTTACAGTTAATTACAGCAAAAAAAGTGGCTGCTTTTAACACAACTTACAGTTTAAAATTACAGCACTTTATGATGAATTCTACACTTATTTTTGAAAAAACACTCAAAAATACCACCAAATTTTAAAGGTGCCCTATTAATGACTAAAAGGACCCCCCTCCCACTCCCCAAAAGACCAAGTAGTCATCTACAGCAACCCAGAGGTCCAGCTGAGGTTTCTAGACTGCTGTCTGTATCAGAGGCCAATGTTGGATCTGTTGACATTGAAGACACATCATTGACAGATGATGATGAAGATGGATGTTGAGAGCCATTGATCATTGCTGCACCTGTGCTATGAGAAACAAGACAGTAAATCAGTTGCAGATACAGTTGCATGGTTCATTACTTGCATTAGTCTGTCTCTTCCTAATAGTCATTACTTTCCCCTGTTCCATCAAGTTTGAAGAGATAAGTGACAATCCACTGTCAAGGTGAATGAAACCCCCAAGTCTTTAACATGGGGCTTAATGAATGATATGTCAAGAACCACGGAACTCACATGGCACGATACCTGTCAAATGCTAATGCTAATGGATGAAGGTTAAAAATCACAAACATAGATAAAACTGCATGAAGCCGCAGCTAAGATATCTTACTAAATGTTGAGACCCATAGCCAGAATGTATCTACATATTTAGATAAAGAAAGAAGGGGACTGGTATTTTCCATAAGATCCTCCCCTTCAGTCTGGGAAACAGCTGGTGTTCAGCCACATTGTATACATTCCATTTCAGATATGCAGTGATTTTTCAGAGTCTGGACTTCCATGAACTCTCATGAGAGTCAGCAATAGCTGCCCAACTCTTCCCATTATTTTTGAACAGTGCAAATGGAGTTCCATTAATAGTCAGTCAATGGTCACATTTTGCTCCAAAATTCAGCAACAGATTCTGAAAGGGCTCCATAATTTTCCTTTCTGTTCAGAGGGAATATTCAAGGCAGACAGCCTAGAAATCCTGTTTCATTACTTAATAGATGTAAATAGTGGTTATATCTTTATTTGAAACTGCACCAGCTACAAGTTACATATCTAACCAGATTGTGGCAACAGAGTACCAGTACATACAAAGGCGTTTCTTGAGGACTGAAATGAATGGTCAGTTACATGGGGACAATAATAGAGGAATTTACCAGATTAATAAAAAGAGATGTCAACCCCATACATTCCATTCAAATAAGCAATATCTAAAAGAGAATTCAAGAAGTTATTGGTTATTTAAGGTTCATGTTTTTGAGTTAGCTTACTCTTGGATGTCTTGAACAGTTTTACTCCCTCCTGACCTACAACTTGATGTAGCTTTATACTGTGCTTTTATTGTAACCAACCTAAAGGGGCTGGCTGTCCACGTATAACCCCATTCTTGGTTCTTTCCTCCAGGTCCATGACTTCCTTGTATATCAACTCTGAAAATGCAGAGAAGGCAAAAAATGAATTTGCAAACCCAAGACTGGATTGATAATACATCTCCCATTAAAATGTACATTTAAATTTCATAGGTTTATTACCATTTAGAATTCGTTTTGTACATCAGGCTGCAGAGGTTACAGAACAACTGAAAAGTCATATAAAAATGTACAATTCTTTTCTGTTGGAGCTACAATGGCCTGGCACTCTCAAGAACACACTGACATTGCTCTAAGACTCTTTTGTCCAGGTTGCTTGTGGACCTGAGGTTAAAACAAGTCTCAATGACCACTCAGTTTTTAATCCATGGCTTCTTTGGTACAGATAAACTCCATCAGCAGTCCTTAAATGAGGAGGTGGGAATAAGCCCAAACAGCATTGCCATCCTCCTGATACACATTTGTCACTAAATTTCCTCAGCAACATCTAAAGGTCGGTTCACGATGAAATGGAATACAGTATTGGCATGTAAGTAGCCACTTCAAATGAAAGCAGCAACTTTATCTTCCAGTTAGAGAAGTTCCTCAGCCTTAAACAGATTAGAAGAGCTTGTAACAGGTATCATATGCCCTGTGTGCTGGCCAGAGGTTTTCTAGGCTAACGGCAGCTATTACCCAGTAAAGACTTCAGCTGTGAATCTTAACAGAACAACAGAAGAAAAGGACTAAACATGTTAACTGCAACTCATAAGAACTAACTGTCAGAACACTGCTTCTCATGTATCACTGGCAAACTAATACATGTAAAAACAGTTTGGAAGAACAAAACATTTAAGAATTATCACTTCAAAGGCTGCGGGAGCCTCGAAAGTAAACTCTATATTGCTTGAAATACCCTCAACACATCTGGATCAAAAGGGAAATAACTTTGCTTGGAGGGAGGATGATAAGAGAATTTCCACAATTCTCCCCCATCTCTGCCTTTAAAGTAAAACTCAGTTTCTAACAGAAGGTGACCTGAAAGTGTGGTAGAACTAGATTTTACAGACTTATGTCCTTATGTCCATTACCAGCCAACACAAAGAAAACGTCAAAAATGATTAATGAAACATCTTCCCTGCTTTTTTTCCTCTGGGGATAAAAAGGTTATACAGGTCTAATATCCATTCCTAGACTTTTTCAGCATGAAGTATGCTCAATGCACTAAATTCTTGCTTAAATGCAACATTTACAGCCTGCACAGCAATCTGGATCTGCATTTTTTTCTTGGCACTAGAACCTCTCCAATAACACGCCACCTTTTAGAAGTGAATTCAAAATGAAGCACAAGCTTTACAAGTAACAAAGATATTCCCCTTATACTCTTATCATTTTACACCTCATACATGACCAGGAAATACAGATACTAAAGCAGTACTGAACGCTAAAAATCACGCTCTTGGAGGTATGAGTTATGTCACACTGAGATGCATTCCACACCTCAACACCAGCTACCTTCTCAGGATCCCACAGCTGATAACCATCAGCATCTCCCACACCAGCTGTACCTTCACTATCTCAGCCACCACTAACTTTTCTTATGGCTTCTTGTTTCATATCATCTGCTTGATTTAAAAAGTGTACAGTTATTGCTAATATGCTCCTCCCTTTAAGACTAGCGCTTCTACTTCAGACTTATGCTGCTCAAACTACTGCCCCTTTTTCAACTGGAACAGTTTGTCCAGAAGAGTTACCCTCCCTAAAACGCTGCTTTATGGTTTGCAAAAGGTGACAGAAATGAGCAGGTCTCCTTAAGTGCACTACAAAGGTTCAGCACCTTCACAGGAAATTTTTTAGTGTCCAGAAAATCAGGAGGTTGTGAAGCACTGATGCATTCCGTTGCCATTCCAAGCAGTTTAGTATATACTGTTAGGATGCTTAGAAGAACCCTAACAGTAATCCTTGGGGCCCAGCCTACTTCCAAAAGCCTTAGTATACTTCAAACGTCCTTCTTACCTTTCCATTCTTCTATCGTGTGCTCCCTCTCATCTAACTGCTTATCTGGTATCTTTGGTGGGGGCTGAAAAACAAAACTAACTCATAATAAAGCAATAAAAAGGAATACAAAAGCAGAATAAATTAAAATAAGGCATTCAGCGTATGAACCTGATTTAATACTTGGCCCATTTTCTAGATGCTGCTAGATGTTTTAAACTTCTGATTAGCAGATTTACTTACATTACTGCAAAAATTAAAATACAAACTGAACAATCTGGTAGAAAAACTCCCAAGTGCAGCAGTCTCCAGCACAAGCAGCCCTTTTTACCTCCTTACCGTTAATTACCACGTTTTCCCTCTATCTGTTATAGATCACCAGAATTCTAATTGTACCATTTACATCACACCTCTTTTTTCTATTCTTAGTGGCCCATCACCACCTTGCTCTTAACAAAATAAAACTTCTGTCGTAAGTTGAAATTGTCCTGAGATTAATTTTTAAGAAAAATTGTCAATTAATCCCTTTGTTCATTAGTGTTGATAACTGATAGCCCAAGATCTTGTACTCAGATTTTGCTGAAACACTTATTTTCTAGTTTAAGGGTACTATCAATTGCTACAACTGATGAAAATATTTCTCTTGCCCAGGAGTAAATGCCTCAGAATACTATCAAGGGCAATTAAACCACCCTGAAACAACTTAAACTCAATAAACCTTACAGAAAATATTTCACATGCATTACTACAACTCCAGGAGATTATATGCAATTATCCAAGAACACACACACTCAGATACAGGTACCTCGGCTACCTGCAAGTTGGTGCCCGTTCCTAATACTATTTCTAATAAACATGTCCATCAATGTCAATAAAAATTATTATAGCTCAGTTAAGCTTCTAGTGAAATGTGTAGATCATGCAATAATCTTCTTACAAGCAGTTATATCAAGCATCACAACAAGTTTGCTATAGTACAGTATCTTCCTAATCAGAGACCAAAAACAAGAACTTACAGCTTCTGCTTCTGATGGATCATACCAAACATTGATGTATGGGTGCTGCAGGGCTTCATCCACAGAAATTCTTTTAGAAGCATCTATAACCAGCATTTTTGATAACAAATCCCTTGCTTGACTTGCTGCAAAGATGAAATTTTCTATTTAGACTAGTGCCATATATGGTGCTGTATTTCAAAGCTCATGAGGAGAGGAGGCCAGAGTAAACAAATTCCAGTTTAATACCTATACAACCCTCACATAATTCGGTGTTTAGGAAAGTGGTTCATCTGATGGGGTGAAAAAAAATAATGAAGATAGTAACACAGGTGGGAAAGGTGTGGGACACATTTCACTATACATTATCAGTATACAGTGCCCTTTGGCGTGACATCTTTACATGAAATATAACTCAGCTGGCAGTATAGCCTTGTCTGCAGTAGCAGTGGGCAAACACCTACTACCCCTCTCTTACAGGTTATGGAGGAAAAGCCATCATGTACGTTAGTCACAGAAAATATGGTGAGTCTGTGACTCCGCTGAGTAGGTGACCAGTTATTTCAGTAACTACCAGGTATCTATGTATTATGAATAGAAAAACTTTCTTTTCATCCCTAGGGAAA